TGGAATGCTAAAACCGAAGGGTGGTGGTTGCATCCTTTGGGCGTGAATCCCCCCTTGGAACCGCCGGTCTCATGGGCTGCAAAAGAGACGGCAATCAGAATCTTGGGGGTCAAGCTAACAGCGCTCGGTCCACCGCCGGACCACGGCGAGAACCTGGTCAACCTTGCGATCGATAGGTTGCAAAAGTGGGAAAACCTGCATACATCTTTGGTGGGCCGGACCCTGGCAATTAATAATGCAGTCCTTGCAGCAATCTGGTATAAGCTCGCAGTGTGGCCCCTGAACCCGAAACAGTACGCTAGACTTAAACGGGCCCTGTCGGTCTACCTATGGAAAAACAACACTAACTCCCAAGGTGCCCTCCACCGTGTGAAATGGGATGTTCTGATGCAACCCAGATCCAAAGGGGGGCTGGGGATCCTTGATCCGGAGAGAGAGTGTGAGACCCTTCTGTTCAAAGTGCTGGTCCAACTTTTAGTGGGTGAAGACATTCCATGGGCGCCGCTCGCCTGTTTGCAGATTGCAAACTTGGCCCCGGAGTCGCCGGTGGAAAGTCGAGTGCACTCCTTCCAATGGTTGACCAACGCTTTCTGGTCCATTCCCGCTCCGGCGCACCATCAGCATCCGCCAGAAAATGAGTCACATGCCACCAAACAGGATATATCAAATGACCCGCTGTGGCCGACTATGCTCAAGCTGTGGAGGAACAGAGGACCGAAGCAAAAATGCCCGCCCAGCAGGTGGCACGATATATGGCGACAACCCCTTTTTGGCAACCCCTACATAGTAGACGCAGAAGGGAACCCCTTTGCTCTCACGGCCAACTCTCCGTGGCTTAATTGGGTCAAGTGAGGTATCTACACTATAGGAAGCATCTGGGATGTGGAATCAGGGGACTGGATCGCATTGGATAAGCTGCAACAAAAACTGAAATATACCAAACACATTGTTGCTAAATTGGCCGTGTTGACGGAAGCCATACCGCTGGCATGGCAACTGGTACTGAAAAGAGGGCCCGTTGTGCGGCAAGGGGACTGGGTCGTCAAAACTGCTGACCTGCCGCTTCCACTACTCATTTACAGAGTCAACACGAACATCCAAGGTTCATGCGAGTTGGAGGCCTATACATCGGTGTTGCCTGGAGCACGAATGGCTCAGATTGTACGGAATGAGCAACTCGACTGCACAACAAATTGGGAATTGCTAATGCTTGTTAGAGTAGTTGGCGGCCTCGAAGAAGGGTTTCTCGTCTATGAGCCCTCCACCTCGATTGCTGCCCTTCCCTTTGATCCGGCAGAGTGGGAGTGGGTGGAAGGGAAACACATGCGTGTGTGACTATACCGTCAAAGGAGGTTACAAACAAGCCACACAAATTGACCTCGTCGTCTCCGAAAGATGGGCGAGAGATTCGCCCATCGACCCTACCCGGGTACAGAATCTGCCATGGCGCGCATATGCTAAAATCATACCCACGAGTCTGCGATCGCTCCAATGGCAGATTCTGCACCGATGCCTTCCCACACTGGATTGGCTGGTGTCCAGGACCAACTTGGAACAGAAAGGGCTGCTCTCCCCCATCTGTTCCTATTGTGGTAGAGGGTCGCCCCCGGCTCGAGCGACACTAAAGCATTGTCTTTTGGCATGCCCGATGGTTGCTCAGATATGGCGTTGGTGGGATGCAGCCTTCCACTCTCTCACCTCCCACCGCATCCCCTGGGACATGGCTCTGCTATTGTTGGGCAGGAAAGATTGCGTCCCGAACCAATGGTCTGCGTTTGCATCCAATCTCTTCTCCTACACAAGGCTTCACGTGCTAATGCTGGCCTGGCGTGCAAGGTGTTCCTTCGAAAGAAATGACCATCAGTTTGGGCTGCAACAGGCCCAACAAGCGCTGGAAGACAAGATAAAGTCTCAGACATATGACGCCTGGAAGGCTATGAAACGACAATATAGTAATGAAAAAGAACCGCAGGCCAGACTGACCATCATAGACACCTACTTGCAGATATGGCAGGACCCTCTTAAGCAATTCATTGAGATAGATGCTGAAATGAATATTACCTGGAAGCCCTGGAGGAACGCGGAACACCTGTGGAGTAGGAGACCCCTGCAGGATTTTCATGTCCCGTATCTGCAAACCAATTTCATCCTAGTGCCGGACCCACCATCACCGACCTCGCCCCCCCCGCCTCCGCCACCGCACAGCCTCTCGGTTTCCCTGCCACCACCCTCCCCTCCTCCCCAAGTCGCTTCCCCGTCCCGCCTACACCCTGCTCATACAGGAACAACAGGATGAATGGGCCACGGAGAAGGGGGGTGGCGGCCGCACAGGCGCGACATGAGGATGGGCTATCAGGGAAGTGCTGCCTCAGACAAAGAGGGGGCAAGAAGGACGCTCCAATGCTTGGCCCTCGGCAGCTTCAGAGAAGGGGTAAGCCTGCAGAAGTGGGACCTGCGCTGATGCTTGGGTTCCTGGGGCCTCAGAGAGGTGGACGGCACAAGCTGCTAAGCCTGCCAATGCAACTTCGCTCCGGATAAAAGGATGCGGTGGATAACAGGACCTGCTAGAGTGAGACAAAGTCTTCAAGGATCATAACGGCGACTCCGGGAGTGGCAACGTTGCTACATTAGCCATACGGGCATAAGACCCGTCAACATGTGTCATAACTCTGTGTCTGCGTATATGGTTTCGACATAGTGTTTACCTAACAGGGGGGCTGCTGAAATGAGGGCTGGGGTGATAGATAAGGGATGCTCCTAAAAAGGGAAGGGTGATACTCGCAGCTCCATGGGGTGAAGGAACCCCAACAGGACCTGCTAGAGTGAGACAAATTCTTCAAGGATCACACTGGCGGCTCCGGGAGTGGCAATGCTGCTACATTAGCCATACGGGTATAAGACCCGTCAACATATGTCATAACTCTGTGTCTGCTTATATGGTTTCCACATAGTGTTTATCTAACAGGGGGGCTGCTGAAATGAGGGCTGGGGCGATAGATACGGGATGCTCCTAAACAGGGATGGGTGATACTAGCAGCTCCATGGGGGATGGAGCCCCAGATTGATTCAGTAATACCCCCAGCCCCAGGAAACAACATCCATCATTCTTGGTGTTACTTGATGTATCAATGGGACGCTGGACCCGGTTTCCAGCAGGTGTCGCTCCCCACCAATAGATGGAGCAGCCCGACTGGTAAGCCCTCAATTCTGGCGGTTCTCCTACCACCGCCAGGATAGAGGGATATCGAAAGGGCCATTTCCAAAAAAATAAATAAAAATAAAAAAATAAAAAAAATAAAAATCCTGTCAGTATTCCCCCGACCGTCATATGGGGAAGTGTTAGTGAGGGTTTATCATGCATTTTTCTGCCCTGCTGGTGGAGTAGGAACCGGCCAGAAAACATATGGAGCCCGGCTCAATAGTGCAAGGAAGATGAGCATTAGCGAACTCCAGCAATCAAACAGCATCATACATATGTGTCCAGATAGTCTTGACCTCGAACCAACAGCAGTCATGCATCACGAGATTCACCAAATCAGAACACACCAATAGTTCGTAATTGACAATGTTGAAATAGTCTCTCATCATCATCAACGAAGAACAAGAGTTGGTATCCTATTGGCGCTCGGCGCCCACACTACTAGTGGCAGATGCTATCTAGCCTAATACTACAATGCCGATGTTGACAACAACAGCTCCCTGAAGTACGAGCATACAGCGGACAATGCCGCACGCTTCCAGCACCAGGTATGTCTCTCGTAACACTCACAACCTCGATCCACACCGCACAGATGCCACTTGCACCCAAGGACCACCCTGCGTCACATCCAGCCTACAGCGGAGCAGCTCGGCTATGGCTGCCCGCTACCTCCCTGCTCGCCCGTGATAGMGTGAGTGCCAGCCAGCCAGCAATGAGCGCAGCAGCGCTTGSGCAGCATGCAGCCAGCACCCGAATGTCGAATGASGAGGCAGGCCCTTCCCTATATCGAAGTGGCCTGCCTGCGTCCAATCCAGGAAGCTTCCGGTAGGCCCCGGTAGGCACAGGCCCAGTCACGAAGAGAGCAGGCCTTGGGCCTGAAGTGGTTGCATGCGCCCAACTGCTTTCGGCCTGTGTTTGGCACGGTACCCGTATCCAGCCCAGGGCCTGGATTCATTCAACCAACTGGCGCAACGCAACTGCCTGAATTTCCCCAATGCGGGGTACCCTGAAGAATGAGGCCCGAAGGGCCTGTCGTGCCTGCCTTCACTTAGGGCGGCCGACCTTGTTGCAGATAGGGCCCCATAGGGGCTAAGCGGGCGTAGCCTCGCATTCCCTCCTCCATATCTTCGTTAGTTCTCTGCGAAGATCAATCTGCAGCCATCTGGCGCTTTCCTTTCAGTACATCCTTCTCATAGCGAGCAACGATTTGAGGAGCGGTCTGCATCAGTTCCTCCCGAGTAAACCAGCGGTCTTCCTTCGGATCTGTATGATGTCTGAAGTGGACTCGGAACTGCAGCTTTGGCTTTGGAGGACGTCCCCTTCCTGGAGGCTTCTGAACAGGCATCTCCCTGTGGTCAACGATATCATCGATGTCGACTTCTCAGTCCATGGTTGGGGGCAGCATGGATCGACGAGAGGGAAACTGATCAGTTTCCTCGAACGCAGCGAGCTTAGAGGCGTGAAAGACTGGGTAACTTCTGAGATGACCAGGGATACGGATGACATATGATGGACCATCAGGATTTGTCCCTAAATCTGAGAATAAACACCGCCGCCCTTCTGCATTTCAGGTTGGGGACAGAGTCTGAGTTAAATCTTCAGAACTGGGACAGGAGTTCGGGATATCCCGCAAACTCATGCCTCAGTACTTCTGTATATGCTCTACAGCCTCCTGCATCTTCTGTTCATAACGATACGCGAACTCCAAAGTGCCCGGCGTAACAGTTGGCTGGTTATCAGGAAGTAGGAAGTCTAAAGGCAGTCTAGGCCTAAAGGTAAGATGTAGACTGTTAGGACTTACCCCAGTAGCGCTGTGTACAACGTTATTGTACAGACTGGCGACAAGAGCAAGCTTCTCGTCCCAATCCACCTGGTTGGGCTTAATGTAATGCCTCAACAGGTGTTGGACAGCGCGGTTCATCTGTTCAGCCTGGCCGTTTGCTTCTGGATGGTTTCCAGAAGTCATTTGCAGTTGAGTTCCTTGTTCAGCTGCAGCGGCCTTCCATAATTCACTTGTAAATCTGACATCCCTGTCACTTACAATAGACTTAGGCAATCCAAAATCCCTCACCCTGTTCTCTTTGAAAAGCCTGATTACATACTCGGTCTTCGCTGTTTCCGGCATGGCTATTAACCTAGCATACTTGCTAAACCTATCCACAATGACGAAGATCTGCCTCATCCCACTCTTGCTGGTGACCAGCGTATCCATGAAGTCCATGGACAAGCTTTTACCCGGCCTTTCCGGAATCGGAAGGGGCTTGAGCAGCCCAAGAGGAGCCTGAGTACGGGGCTTGTCTCGTTGACAAACCTGACAAGTCTCCACATACAGCTGTGCATCTCGCATCATCGTGGGCCACCAGAATCGCTGCAGCAAGTTGGCTGCGGTCTTCTTATACCCGAAATGACTGGTGGCATCATGACACTCACCTAGAAACAAACTACGCAAAGACTTACTATTGGGAACACACAATCGTTTATTCCCTGCCTTCTCAAGGAACAGCAAGCCATTAACCAACTCAAACTCGGCGGACGTCTTCTTGTCCTTCGCCTCAAGTCTGCGTATGATCTCAAACATAAACTGGTCCTCGCGATAGGCTTCCATCAAGGATTGAGTAACATTGTCCATGAGACTGAACTCAGTAATCAGCGCACCTGAGAAGTCTGGTCTGCGCGACAGGGCGTCAGCAACCTTGTTATACTCCCCTTTCAAATACTGACGGTCAAAGTCATATTGCTCAATGACTTCGATCCAACACTTGAGAGCGTCAGAGAGTACCGGCTGGGTTCTCATCCATTTCAGGGTCTGATGATCAGTTCTGAGGATGAAGAACCTCCCAAGGAGATAGTGTCTCCAATGGGTCAGCGCCTTGAACACCGCATAGAGTTCTTTCTCATAGGTGGACTTAGCCAACTTCTGAGACGGCATTTTCTTGGACATGTACTCAACAGGCCTCAACTTTAGCCCCTCCTGCTGCGCAAGCACGGCGCCAATGCCATATTGGCTAGCATCCGTGG